TCCAGGCTGACTCAAGAATGACACAGAAGCCCCTTCCCTCCAAGTATTTCCTTCAGAACTTCTGGGGTGTGGCCTCTTTCTTCCAGCAGATATGGCTTCTGGAGGATATCAATAATAATGCTCAGAAAGGTTGGTCCTAGTGGAAGATGTCTCTGGAAAACAGCGCTCTGTCATGGTTGCCTTTCCCTGTCATTTCCTGAGCAGCAACAAGGAAGTAGCTCACTATTGCTGTCTTCTCAGTTTTTTCTTCCGCTCCACAGGCTAGTTTACAGCTCTGGCATCACCTGGTGGTCTCCCATCCTAAGGGCAACCTGGGCTGCTGTAAAGATCGGAGTGCACCGAAGAAAGGAAACAGAAGTCTATGTACGAGATAGGACAGTTATCTCTCTTGGGCTTTGAATTACTCACCCGTTCCCAAACCTTCAGGGAAATCTTTTTTTTCTCAGCATTCCATCTCTTGGCTTGGAAGGAATGTAAAGAATTAGGGATCTTTTAACTAGCTGGACCATCTAATCCACTAAACAAGAAGCATAAATTGTCAGAAATAATGTGCTTTGGCTGTATCTTGTTTTACCAACCCAAGATTTAAGCTAGCCTCTTCTGAAAGAAACAAGCACCCATCATCCTTATCCAGCTGGGCCATTAATGAGAATTGCAGTCGGGTAGACGTGAAGGCCCCAGATAAAGGAAGCATGTTGTCAAAAATGTGAATAATAATAATAATGAACACCCCCCAAAAGAGGGTGAACTGGACCCAAACACTTTTTTTTGGTGGAGGAGGAAATCCAGTGCATCCCTGCGGCCTCAATTGAGAAAACAAAGGGGATTATCTCTCTACTGGTTTGGCAACTATACACATCATCTTCTGGCTAACATTCCCTCTTTTCCTTCCTTCAGAACATATTCCAGCTCCCGCCGGGCTCCCATTAATAAATTTAGTTATCCGAAAATCATTATCCAAGCAGGCGGGATCGGATGGGAGGAATGGGCCTCTAGGGACTTGGGAGGGTTGCAAGCAAAATGTCCAATGTCAATGACAAGAGGCTGGATTTTAAACAGATAAAAGTGTGCCGTAGAAGGAAACGGTGCCTCCGTTTGGACCCAGCGCAAATATTTCCTCCAAGACATGAGCTTGATTTAAACAAGACAACTGCGCTGGGAAAATCTTTTTTAATTGTTTAGTCATCTGGGATAACTCTACAAGGGTATTGACAAATTGGCTGGCTTGATGGTTGACAGATATCCCCAAGCTGTTTTAAGAGCTTTATAGAGTGTAAACACCAGGAGCTTGAACCAAAAAGAGAGAGAGAGAGAGAGAGAGAGAGAGAGAGAGAAGGCCCCTGTGTTACTTTAATCACAGAACTGCAAATAAACCGATAATCTGAACAGAGAAATGGGATCTCTTCTTCCGGTACTCAAAGCAGACAATGTAGCTTTGTGCGCAGCTTATTTCAGACTACAATTCCCTTCGTCCCCTGCCTCCACTAGGCCTGATGGAAGCTGCTGTCCCAAACATTTGGAAGAAATCAAATGGTTCGTCTTTTAGGCAGATTTCACGACAGAGTCAGCCCCACGGAACGCAGCGGGACTTCAGGGTAGGGGGAAAAGAACGAACTTCCTGTCGATTGAAAAAACAGGGAATATACCGGTTACAGAATAACAGAGTTGGAAGGGACCTTGGAGGTTTTCTAGACCAGCCCCGTTCAAGCAGAAAACCCTGTACCATTTCAGACAATCTTTTCTTTAAAAATCTCCAGTGTTGGAGCATCCAAAACTTCTAGATGCAAGCTGTTCCACTGGTTAATTGTTCTTGCTGTCAAGAAGTTTCTTCTTCGTTCTAGGTTGCTTTCTCTCCTTGCTTAGTTTCCACCCATTTCTTCGGAGAATAGGTTGACTCCCTCTTCTTTGTGTCAGCCCCTAAAATATTGGAACCCTAGTAACCTGTCCACCTTCGACCTTGTTTTCATTAAACCAGACATTCCCAATTGCATTCTATGTTTTAGTCTCCAGTCCCCTAATCATCTTTGTTGCTCTTCTCTGCACTGTTTCCAAAGTCTCAACATATTTTTAATGAAATAACACGTTACATCTTTAAAAAAATAAAAGATAACCCTCATCTTTTTTTCCCCCGGAACCCAAATTTACCTCAGGCATACCAGACGCCAGAAACTTCAGAAGGTTTTGTGTGTGCGTGCAACACATCAAATATCACTCAACCTGCCACTCAGAATGAAGACCTTCCAGCAAGGCAGCTTGCAAATTAAAGTATTTTATTTTCAAACGATTACAAAGGGCCATGTGAACCCAGGCCCAGGATGTGGAATGAAACAAGGAGCAGTAAGAAAAAGAATTCAAATAATTGCAAGTCCTGATTTGCATACGGAAAACAAAAAACAAAAAAAAACCCAGAAAGCTATATAACTAAGACTCCCTTAAAAATCTAGCATTTTCTATGCCGCGGTTGCTTCAAGGAGCCTCTAGATTTAACCCAAAGGATGAGTTAACCCACTTTCTGGAAATCCAAAAAGCAATGAATCACAAACTAATTAAAAAGGCTGGATTAGCATACACATCTAAACCATACACAAAACCCGGATAAAAAATTAATGAGGTTAATGTGTTATCAGATGGAATCTTCCACTTTAACCATACTGTGCAAACATCTTCAGGTATTCAGAAAAGCACCTTCTCTGAACTTGTTGGCCCACAACTGAAAAATCAATGTTGGTTTATGTTGGAATTACATATTATGTGAGCCTAATCTCTCTAGTGCTCTGTATAAATTGAATACATTGGCGAAGGAATCAGAATACAGAATTGCCAACGTTGGCTTCCCCCAACATATTCAGTCCTCATTTGTGGCTTAAGAGTTTTTTTTTGCATGAATCTGTGGTTTATATACATGGTTTATATATGATGGCATGTGTGGCATGAACCCAGTTAATGGGCTTCTTTAAGCAAGAGTTAAAATGAACCATCCCGTCTTGCAATGTGGCCATCTGGTCGATTTGGTCCAACTGTGTAAAAGAGAAACTTGACTTTTGGGTAGTGGGCCCTGCTGGCATTCCTGAAGTGTGTTGTGGACATTTTTGCAAAATGGCAACTATTTATCCAAGACCCCAGCAGGGTAGGATTTGGGCTTAGAGTGATTAAGGGAGAGAGGGAGGGAAGGAAGGAAGGAAAACTGGAGTTTGGGGAGGAAGTGAGGGAGGGAGGAAGCAAGCAAGGAAGGAAGGAAGGAAGGAAGGAAGGGAGGAAGGAAGGGAGGGAGGGAGGGAATAACCAAGGATAAATGGAGAAGTCTTTATCGCCAGCAGGGGAAATGGACAGTCCAGTGGCAATAAGGCATGGCGAGGTCAGTGGGGGTCTCCAAAGATGGACTTCCGGTTCTTCCTGGATTACTTTAGTCAGCCATCTTGGGTCCAAAGTTTTACGTTGAGTTCCTCCCTACAACGCACAATTCAAAACTCATATCGGATTTGGCCCGGAGCGAAGGAAAAAGCAGAGGGCCTCCCCCCAGTGGCACCGTTTTCTTTGCTGGGTTGAACTGGGTAAAATGCTTTGCTTTGTGCGTGTTGCTTTTTTCTTTCTTCCTTTTTTTTTTTGCTTCTTCAACTATAACCGCCGCCTCTCTTCCTTTTTTAATCTCCAATTTCCTTTTGCTGCGTTCTCTCTCTTTCCCTTTCATCGCTGCCCCTTTGATGACTATTTTTGCACAAGGCTCGTGTGTTTTGACTGCGTGCATTTCCAACTCCAATCTCGGGACTGGTGCGAAGAGAGAAGAGAACCCCTATCTATGCTTTCCAATTTACACCCCCCCTCCATCACTGGTGGAACAACCTCTCAAGGGCAGAGAAGGGACTCCACTGAGTTTGGGGTGTTCCCCCCCTGCATAAGTCCTGGGTACCCCAGGAAATATCCTCAAGGCAGGAGATTCTGCAGGGAAGGAGAGAAAGGACCATGAAGCCAACCATCCAAGTTTTCACCCTTATTGATTTAGCCCTTCCCACCGGCCTTTCAAACCACAAACTAACCACGCCCGTCCTAAGTCTCAGCCGGGTTTCCAAACTACCCACGCAAGCCCCGCATCCGTCCCGATCCCTCGCGGGGGACGGGGGGTGGGGGGAAAGCTACTAAAGGCTGCAGCGAGTCCCCGAGACGATTCTGGAGTCCATGCAGGCAGGGCGATCGGTTCAATCTCTCTCTTTCTCTGCTTTGCCCCCGTGGACACGCGCCTCCACTCCCCCGCGTGGGTGCAAGGAGCAGAGGAGCGGCGGCCGTTCGCCTCAGGAGACGCCGCCCATCCGTCCTAAAAAAAGGGGGAGCCCCGAGGTTGTGTGTCTCCCCCCCCCTGGGGGAGCTTCCCCTCCCCACCCCTGCCCAGCAGTCGATCCTTAAAGAGAGACCTTTGGGGGCGCATCCCCCCCTCCCCCCCACCCAGCAGTCGATCCTTAAAGCGGGACCCTTGGGGGGCGGTTCTCCCCCTCCCCACCCCCGCCCAGCAGTCGATCCTTTGCAGCGGGCAGCGGGACGCCTCCTCCTCCTCTTCCTCCTCCTCCTCCTCTCCGCCCAGGCAGCGCCGTCCGCTGCCGCCTTTCTCGCCCGCCCTCCGGAGCGCTGCACCTTGGCAAGTCACATCACGCGCAGCGGCGGCGGCGTCGCGGTTAGCCATTAACCGGAGCGGAGTCGGTGCCAGCGGCGGACAGGGGCGGTCTCTGCCGGAGTTCCCCTCCCCAAAGCCCGCCTCTCTCTTTCTCTCTCTCTCTCTCTCTCTCCCAGTCTCCCCTCCCCGCGGCTGCAGAGGCGGGCAGCGGAGCCCCGGCTTTCTTTCTCTCTCTCTCTCTTTCCTCCCTTCCTCCTCCTCCTCCTCCTGCCGCCTCGCCGCCCCCCCCCCCCCCCCCCCCCCCCCCCTCTCCCCAGCCATTCAGGCCGCCCGCGAATTGCCCCCCCCCCCCCCCCAACCCGCCTCCGGAGCCCTTTTCTCTGCCCCTGGCCGAAGGAAGAAGCGGCCAGCTTGAGCCGAGAAAGGGACGGAGCTCCGGGCCGGCCACGCCACCTCCTCCCCCGTCGCGTTTTTTTTTCTTCTCCGCCTCCCCTTCCCTCCCCGGCCGCACTTTCTCTCTCTCTCTCTCTCTCTGTGTGTCTCTTTCTTTCTTTCTCTCTCTCTCTCTCTCCCCTTTTTCCCCGCGCGCCTCGCAACTTAGGATCGCCGCGGGGGAAGGCGCGCCAAGGCCGGCCGCCCTCGGGAAACGCGGGGACCAACAACTCCGGGCTTCGCCTCGGGCGGCTCTCCAGCCCGGGGGGGTCTATTGTGCCGCGATGCGGCGGGCGAAGGGATCCTCCGGATCGCCCCCCGCCGCCGCCGCCGCCGCCGCCGGCCTGCCTCCTCCTCCTCCGCCTCTCCTGCTCTCGTCGCTGCTGCTGTTGCTGCTGCTGCTGGCATCGTGGCCGGCCCGTTGCAGCCGAAGCTGTCCGGAGAAAGAGCTGGAGCGACGGGAGGAAGAAGCCAACGTCGTCCTCACCGGCACGGTGGAGGAAATCTTCAACGTCGACCCGGTGCATCAGACCTATTCGTGCAAGGTGAGGCTGGGCAGCGGATGATGGGTTTTTGTGGGGGGG